ACCACATACATGCTAGGCAAGTGCTTTGTCACTAAGCTACGTCTTCAACCCACTTTTGTATTATGTTTTAAGAGTTCAGACAAATTATAATTTTCACATTTAATTTTTACTCAATTTCTGAATTTGGTTTTCACACATTAATCTTTTATGGGAGTTAGATTACATACATTTTCCTAAGTCATGACTGATTTGAAAATATAATTTATGGCTTTCTTTCTTAAAAAGGCAGGAGGGGCTGAAGGGACGGCTCACCAGTTAAGAACACTGGCTGCTCTTGCAGAGAACCCAGGATAAATTCCCAGCACCCACATGGAAGCTAGCAACCATCCATAACTCCAGTTCCTGGGAATCCAATGCCTTCTTCTGGCCTCCACGAGCATTGCACAAAACAGGTGTATTTACACACATGCTGGCAATACACTCACACACATAAAATAAAAATAATAATAAAAAATAATATATATGACAGGAGTTTCTTATAAAATAATAAATTCATTTCAAAGATACAACTGTTTGCTAAATACTATTTTTATTTTAAAATGCAATAGTTTAAAAAATTGAGGGCTTTACTGTTTCAAATAAGCAAAACATATACAAAGCCTGTGAAAATAGTACAGATGTATTTATCTATAAGAACCACAGAGCAAGCCATAGCGAACACTGGGAGGACAGGACACCCTGTGAAGGCAGGAAAGTAGCTCTCCCTTACACCACACTTCCCATCAACCCGTGAGTGGGGTGAATTACTGACAAGTTCCTGAGCTGGACTCACTTCTTCTGAACTACCTAGGGGTGGGGTAGCTAGAGTATGAACTAAATCCTAATAGCTGAAATAACTTTTAGGACATAAAAAATCAGAATGTCTATTCTTTTTATGGTACGGCCCACTATTATATAAATTTAGGTGACAGAATCAAAAATTCAGTAAACTAAACTCACAAGCAGCTAGTTTTAAAGTTAGCACAACAGTGCCTTCTCCCTCTCTATCTTTACCCACACATGTGTATTTAAAATCTATACTTATTTCACTGTTTACCTAATGCTTACTCCCCTTCCAAAGAAATAGAAAAAAAAAACTCATAGTAGCATCTTTTATTTGAAGGTATTTATAAACACACTGGCCATTTCTCCTACATCCAAGAATCCTAAATGAATTTTGAACAATAAATACTTTTTAAATGAGAAAATAAGTTTTTAAAACCCCTTCCAAATTCTCCAACCTATACAAAGACTTTCAGTATAATCATGTTACTTCTTAAAGAAAGCAATGCCAATAAAATATTTTTAAATATTAAAAATGCGAAATAATCTTCAAACTAGAAATTAATTGCAGAAAAGTAAAGTTTCAGACCTAAAATCCATGATCATAAGAAGCTGTTCTGCGAGAGCTTCAACAGCAGTCAGACACTGCATGTCGGGTAAGGACTGGACAGAAGGTGACCCAGGGACAAGGAGACATTTCAATTAGCAGTTCTGACAAAGATAGGGGATAGACTTTCACACGATTTCTCCAGTAAGCCAAGTAAAAAAACAGATTTTTCTCAAAGCATTTGTCAAATCACACACAAAACCTTATTTTGAACTTCTCCAATTAAACACAAGTTGTTTGTATACGTTATCAATGCAATACTTTATACACACACACCAAGGGGTAATGTGACCAAAGATAAACTCAAAATTCATTAATTATTTGCCAGAGAGATAAGTTCCCTAATTTTTTCATTAATAAAAAAGCCAACTTTTCATTTTGTAATGTGAACAGGTTTACCTGTCACCAAAATTATTATATTTTAAGGTTTTTCCTGCCAACTTGAAATATGCAACATAACATGAAAAATGAGTCAAAGAAAATGAGGGACAGCACTGACATGAATAAGAGGCAAGTTAAATGGACCAACCACTGGTAAGGACACACAGCAGCCTGAATTCACGCACTGTTGCTGGGCATGAAAAATCTCACTGACCCCTTTGAAAAGGATTGGCAATTCCAGTTCTTTACGAACTGAATACATCCCTATCTTGTGGCCTAGCAAGTCTACTCCAAGAGAAATGAAAAGATAAGTCCACAATAATACTTCTGCAAGAATGCTTACTACCACTATGTTCACAAGAGCACCAAGCTGGTTGAAGTCCAGATGCCCTTCAACAGCAAAAAGAGTAAAACAAACCCCACTACAGGAACAAAGTCTTAATAATCATCACATTGGCTGAACTAAGCCTATAGACAAAAGAGTATGTATGATGTATGCTTATTTAAATGAAGTCTAAAACAGGCACATTTAACTGCTGCAGTACTTATCAAGGCCATGGGGACTTGCTGGGACATGCAGGACTCCAAAGTGATGGTGATACTGCGCGCCTGACGATGGGATACAGAGGCATAACCACTTACTGAAATTTATAGCACACAGTGTACATATTTCATTGTCTCCAGATTTCACATGTAACTTTAAAATGGTTTTATGCTGACATATTTTACTGTTCTTTTGCAATTTCATTTTTTAAAATATTTTATCATTTTTATGTGTTATGAGTGTATTGCCTGCATGTGTGTAAGTGCACCCATGTCGTGCAATGCCAATAGAGGTCAAAAGAGGGTGTTGGATCCCCTGGAACTGTAGTTAAGATGGGTGTTAGCTGCCATGTGGTTGCTGGGAATCTAACTTGGGTCCTCTGCAAGAGTAGTCAGTACTCTTTAACAGCTGAGCCATCTCTCCAGCCCCTATGCTGACATATTTGAGGAAAGTTCCCTCACAACTGCAAATTCCTTTGGAAGGGACCAAAAAGCAAATGGATTTATGGATGGATAGAGGGATAAACAGCAAATGTGATATGAACAAGTGTACAACTCCTATTATAGAATCTAGATGCTAGAATTATGTAGTCACCTTAAACACTTTCAAATGTTCTCTATGTTTGCACATTTATAATACAATACCTGAAGGGCAATAAATCTCAAAACTATTAAACTATATAAATTTCATGACTTATTATAACTAAGAAAGGTAATCAAAATTATTTTTCTGGATTATGTTATAGACTAATTTTTATTTGTTTTGTAAATATTAAAGAGCATAGGAGTAAATATTTTAAATTTCAAAACTATATAAAGTTAAATAAACTGTAAAATAAAATATATTGTCTTAAGGGAAAAATTCATTCTCTAAGCAAATGATAACCTTTGGAATACCTGTGTCAAGCATTCTTAAATAGTCACTTTTAAGACAGTTAAAGATATGGGTTGGTAAGACAGCTCAATCCTGCTGCTAACCCTGATGACGAGTTCAATCCTCAGAAGGACAGAACTTGCTTCAGCAAGCTATCCTCTGATTTTCAAATACATGACACAGCACATGTAGACACACACACACACACACACACACACACACACACAAACATGCACATAAATATTTTAAAAAGAAAACTATATTTTCTATTTTCCAAATAAAATTTAGCCTTTCCTTCAACATGAGTATACTTCTTTAACATCACTGAAATATTATCAAGGAAATGTTATTTGCAACTTTTTACACTAAAAATCTACAAAAGAACTTAAAACACTAATATACATTTTACACAGTCATTCCTTCCAAATGATCTGTGTTCACTGCAGCTGAGACTGCTCTTCCTGGTGAGTCTACTGTTTGGTAAAACGCCCCCCTGCCCCAGTCCAGGCGTTTGAGTACTTGGTCCCAAGTAGATGGTACTGTTTGGGGGAGGGTTGGGAGGTACGGCCTTGCTGGTGGAAGTACGACAGTAGGGGCAGGCTTTAAGCGTCTATAGCCTCACCCCACTTCCAGTTCCTGTGCTGTTTTGTGTTTGCTGTTGAAGATGTGAGCTCTTAGCTTCCTGCTCCCACTGCCTGCTGCCATGCCTTACCCACCATTACAGATATTCCCTCTGGAACTGCAAGCACAAGCGAACTACATGATTAGAAGAAGCATTTCACTACAGCTTTAACATATTCAGTAACACACTCCAGAGCAAGAGTACATCTCTACTTTCAGTATCAATTACAGTTTGATGGACTTAGCCGCCCCCTCACACACACTATGACAGAGTTGGCTAGTACAATGAACTTCATCTCTTTCACCTTCATGTGTACTTCTGCCTGCAGTCTGTCCTTCTTCATTACCTAATATTACCCTTCTTGGTCTTTCTAAAGGTTATACTCTACCACTGTGGTGCCTTGAATGAGAAATGTCCTCTATAGGTTCATGGATCAGAACACTTAGTCCCCAGGTGCTGACACTGTTTTGGGATTTTTATGGACCCTTAGGAGGTGCAGCCTTGTTGGGGGGCTTTGAGGGCTTATAGCTTTCTCCCCACTCCTAGTCTCTCTCCCTTCTTCCTGTATGTGGATAAAATGGATGGATTTGATCAAAACATCTTACATGCATGTACAAAATTCTCAACAAAGTTTTTGTAA